GCCCGCGCCGAAGAGCGCCGGGAACGCCGTTCCGACGGACCCACGGCGGGGCACGGGGGTTTTGCAGGCGGCGCTTGATCTGATAAAGAAAATCAAAGACACATTCGCGCTGTTTCCCCTGTCTAGAAATAACCTTTCTCCTGGGCATGCCAGGGGAGCCAGGAGACATTGCGCTGACTGGTGGTTTGGTTTTGGGTTTTTTGGGGTTTTAGGTTTTGTTTTTTTTTTTTCTGAAATAGTAAAAAAGAAATTGCATCTAAATTTCATCTGCCGCAAATGAACCTCACGTTAATGCTGCGAAACAAACAAACAAATGTTTGGGGTTTAATTTTTTTTCCCTCATGCTGGAAAAAAAATCCCCTCCGATTGACGCTGTGAATCTGAATTCTTAGAAAATAACCTCAATGTCACAGCAACCCCCCGGGCAAATGCAAACAGATATAAACTCCGTGAAAAACAAAATAAAACAATCCACGGCTTCCTTGCTAAATAATAGAAAGTAGACATTTTATTTAGGCATATATTTGCATGCACTGGTTAAGTCGAAATCAACTGAGCTGCAGCCACCTCTATTTTTGGCTGGTAACATTTCCATCCGGTTTAATTGCACATGTCTAATATTTAAACGTATTAAACCATGTTTCCCTGCTTACGGTAGTGTCATATACATTTCTCACCTTTTAGGTTCTGGCTCACAGGAGCCCCTGCGACTTTGACAGCTGTCGCTTTGGCTGCACAGGAGACGAATCGCCCTCCTTTTGGTGCCAGAAGAAGCAGGAAATTAGCCAGGTTGCAAGTTGAAAATCTGCCACGCCAGTGCTTTGAATCCAATATGCCACACCTTCCAGCGGGGGAACTGGAAATTGCCATCCCGGATCTGTGTTCTAGGCGGCTGCTTATGCCGAACCTCCGCACACTTTGTTCACTATTGCCTTACAAAGAACAAATGAAATGGGGATTGAAAGCCAGAGAGATCCGAAGCAGGACAGAGCTCAGCAAAAGAATGCGGCTCTATTCTCGCAAGGGAAATTATAAAAAAGTTCATGTTCACGGTTACCATCCACATGACCGACAACGACCAATGGAAAAACCGAACAACTCATAAAGTTGTATTGCAAAGTTGTAAATTTTCATAAACAACAACGGATTTATGGCCTTTTCCTCATCACTAAGAAGAGGCAGGTCTTAGAGAGGCGCCATCTTACCACAGAGGCAGCCCTGGAGTTTTTTAAAAGACCTGGAGTTTGTACTAATTTTATTAAAATTACAATTAGTACGTTGACCAGGAACGGAGTGCAGTAGAAAAAGGGAACTTCTGAGCAAATGATGCTCTGGTTCTACCTGTATTTACTCGGCCGAATAAAGGGACTTTTCGGACGAGGTTTTTTTGTGATTTTTTTTTTTTCCTAAAAGATTGAAAATATTAGACCTCCTTGACATTACGTAGTACCTGGGAAAAATTACACATTTTTATAAAGCGGGGAGATTTTTCCCTTTTTTAATGTCACCCTGGTGCCCCCCGCCCCTCGAAAGCCGCAAGCACAAACCACACACGTACCCGACCAGATCATTTACACTTGGAAGTTTCGCACCGCACTTTCTGTTCATTATACAATATTATTTCACCGCCTGCGATTTCGACTTGATCGCCGGCCGCCTGGACTGGGGTTACGATTGCAAGAGGACACGGGAACACGGTGGAAGGAAGCCCTCCCATAAAAAAGGCTTTCCGCTTTATTAATCAACTGCGCTAGGGAAAAAAAAAAAAAAATCACGAAGTCTAGATAGAGAAATTGACTGATTCCTATCAATTCATCACCTCGGATTTTTTTTCCCCCTTCTGATTACGGAAAAACAAAAGAGATTTATATGGTCTAATTTCTTTATTTGTCTGTGTAAATTATTTTTTGATGCTTCCTTCGAACCGTTTCCCTAATAAAGAAACACATTTCATTGTCAACAAGCATATTTATTTTCTGTGTAACATAAAACACATTTATCGTGGGAGATACTTGTACACGGTATCACTTCCAAAGAGAGTTCACAGACATTTTTTTTTCCACTTCCAATACTTACACGGCATATCCAAATGTTCACAACGAACACATCGAAACACATTGTAACGTACAATTGTTGAATAAACTTTAGCCAAACCTTCAAGACGGATTTATACAGAGTTCTTAACAATACATCATGCTACAAAGTTTCCAAATTAATTACATACTTCCCAATTTATGACATGATCTTACAAATGAGCTCCAAGACGAATATAAATGACAAAAAAAAAATCGTTCAAATATACAGTATCTGCTATTGTAGGAAAATTCACGGTATTACATATTAACACGTTTGGATACTCAGGACAAACAGTTGTTTTTTTTTTTTTAAAGGTGGTTACATGGTCATTTAAATCCACTTTTCAAAGAACACTTTCCGCTATATTAAGTAAGATCAACCTAGAATAAGAAAACGGCCTTTAGCAGAGGCAGCCGAAGGTAAAAGCCAAAGGGAAATATTAAACCGCTTTGTACAATATTGGCATGTTTGCTTCCTCACTCGGAATAGTAAAGAATCGAGAACAAAGATATATTGCAGCATATGGTTTTCATTTATAATTGCTTTGGAATAAATATATTATTTTAAATTTAAATATATTCAGCCTTTCCGGTACCAAATTCTATACCAAAGCTATTGATGCGTGCTTTTGAACGACTACACTTACATTTCTAAAAGCATTTTGCGATTCACATTAGTAATGTTATCTTCTTTTGACTACTAAAATACAGCATACTTTCGAAGATAGGTAGGCGGAGCAAGATATATAGGTAGTCTGGAAAATAGGTAGTACAAATCATTGCTGTAGATTGTAGTGGTTTGTGGAAGATCTTTTTTTTTCCCCTTTACTTGCTGTTTAACCTTTTGTTAGTGTAGCTGTTAGTTATGATACTTTTCTAACAATAATTAAAAAAAAAGAGAAAAAAAAAAAGAGAAGTGCAGAGCTACTTATTCAAAATTAGGTAGTTTTTCTTAATGCGAGCCTAATGCACTTTTCCCCTTACACATGATTGGGACTACTGAGTCAGGTAGTTACTTCGGAAGGTCACGGATTACAATCTGTGCAAGCAGCAGCTCTCCCACTGAAATGTCCCCTGGACAAACCCACCCAGGTTTGGGTGAACGAAAAAACAGATGATTGTAGGATGCTCTTAGGAGATATTACAGAAAGGTTCGGCACAGGGAAGGTTTGGGGAGTACGGGAGAATGGAGAGAAGGCTGGAAAACCACCCCAAGAAACGTTTTCATGTTTGCAAACGCTTGCTTGCAAGATGATTATTAAAGGGAACTGATTTTTTTTTTTTAAATAAAAACAGTGAGTCTTTCTTTTTCTTTTTCTTTTTTTTTTTTTTTTCCCCTTTAAAGGGAGCTTTTCCAACTGTCATGTGCATACATTATACTAAGAGATTGCTTCCTCGAGTGGGACTCCTTAGTCCTCCTCCTCTTCGTCTTCTTCCACTTTCTCCACAGAGGCTGCTGCTGACGTGGGCTCGTTGGGAGCCGGGGTGCTAGAGCTCTCTTCCTTGTGCTCCTTCTTCCACTTCATCCTCCGGTTTTGGAACCAGATTTTGATCTGCCTCTCCGTCAAGCAGAGAGCATGGGCGATCTCTATCCTCCGCCGCCGAGTCAGATAACGATTGAAGTGGAATTCCTTCTCCAGCTCCAGGGTCTGGTAGCGGGTGTAGGTCTGGCGCCCTCGCTTCCTATCTGGACCTGAAAACAGGCACACACGGCCAGAAGTTAGGCAAGAAGAGAGATGGAAAGATTTCTCTGGGTTTTTTTTTTTTTAATTATTAATATTTTTTGAATAAACAAACAAACAAAAAAGCGGCCGAGTGAGAGTGAAAGGTCCCCTTCTCTCACTTCCACCCGCCCCCCCCCACAACACTTTGCCCTAACAAAGACATTTCAGCCACACGACCTGCCCTGCTCAGGCAGGGCGAAAATTAAGTTCCTCGAGACCTAGCAAAAGTGGAGAGAAAGCATTCAGGAGAGGAGGTGGGGGAGGAAATTGCTTTTGGGAGGAGGAACTTTCCCCCCAGGCGATGGATTTCCCTAAAACCTTCCAGACTTCCATGTTTCGCAAGGGGAAATAAAAAGCTGGAAGGCTGGGCTGTATTTATTTTATTTTAATGTCGGGAGATCCCTCCACCCCCCCCACCCCACCC